ATTCCTGATCTTATCTGTAGACTTTTTATGCTCTGTTTTTGGGGGATATGAGCTGTCATTGCTAAAAGCATTTTGCACAAAGAGCATTTTAGCAGAAAAAATAGACGTGTTGGCTGAGTGCTGTGGCTCAGGCCTCTAATCCCAGGACTTCGGGAGGCTGAGATGGGAGAATTGCTTGAGCCGGGGAGTCTGAGATCAGCCTGGGCAATAGAGCAAGACCCTGTCTCTACAAATAATTTTTTTGAATAACTTGGCACAGTGGTGTGTGTCTGTGATCCCAAGAACTTGGGAGGCTGAGGTGGAAGGATCACTTGAGCCCAGGAGTTTGAAACCAGCCTAGGCAATGTAGCAAGACCCCATCTCTACAAATAATAATAATAATAAAATAGCCTGGTATGGTGATGTGTGCCTGCGGTTCTGATTACTCAAGAGGCTGAGGTGGGAAGATCACCTAAGCCCAGGAAGTTGAGACTACAGAGAGATATGATCACATCATTGCATTCCAGCCTGGGTGACAGAGCAAGACCCTGTCTCAAGAAGAAAAAGAAAAGAAAAGAAAAAGAACAGAAATATTAAAAGACAGTGTAAAATTGTTCTCTTATAAACAAAACAGTGACAGAAAAGTGTTTTTGTTTTTAATTTCATAGGCTTTCCTTGTTACTTATTCAGCAGTAAAAGCCATACTCCATGACCAGTCAACCAGTGTATGTGTCTTCTTTCATCATAAAATATCTGACTTATCTGCTATTTCAAAATAAAGTTTCACATTCTCTGTGTGAAAATTTTCCATGAAATCTCACCAGGGCTATATTTATTGGAGGACACAATTATGTTGGGGTGAGGCTCAGCTTTTTCTGACTTCTTTCCAAGAAAGGTAAATGGCAAGTCAGTCCAGATATGAGGAGCCAGGCTGATTTATAAGAGAACATGGACTTCCCAGACAATTCTGTAGTGGCAGTGATTCCAGCTGCAATAAACCTGCCTGGCATTTTATAACACATTCCTGGAAGGATAATTTTTTTCCTTAACTAAAAATTGGCCTTTACTAACTTTGAAGTTGCAATTATATAGGACACAGTCTCTCCTGATTGATGACAATAGATTAATGATCTGGCCTTAGAAACTGTCTTTGATAACCAAAGTGGCGAACTTGTTGGTGTGTATCCAAAGGAAAAGAACTCATTATATCAAAATGATAACTGCACTTGCATGTTTATTGTGGTACTATTCACAATTGCAAAGACATGGAAACAACTTAAGTGCCCATCAACAGAAGGTTGGATAAAGAAAACGTGGTACATATACACTGTGAAAAACTACTCAGCCATACAAGGGAATGAAATCATGTCTTTTGCAACATAAATGGAACTAGAGGCCATTATTCTAGGTAAAATAACTTAGAAGCAGAAAGTCAAATGCCACATGTTCTCACTTATATGTAGAGCTAAACAAGGAGTACACATGGGCGTAGAAAGTTGAATCATAGACAACTGGGGAATACAAAGATGGGAAGACTGGAAGGGGAGTGAAACATTACCTCATGGGTACAGTATTCACTATGTAGGTGACGGGTTCACTAACAGCTCAGACTTCACCACTCTGCAATATAAGCATGTAAGAAACCTGCACTTGTGCCCCCTAAATATATAAAATAGTAACAATAATAGTTATGTTAAAAGAATGAAAGAAAACTGCTGAATGATTACCAATCTCTTCATTCTGCATTTTTTTGGTAAATGATGATGGAGGACCCAGCATAAACCAAGCACTGCATCCTGTACTAGGAAGCAAGGAAACAAAGCTGAGTGAGATGATGGAATACTACACAGCCATAAAAAAGAATGAGATCATGTCCTTTGCAAGGGCATGGATGGAACTGGAGGTCATTGATTTGTCAAATTAATGCAGGAACAGAAAACCAAATAAACCAAAAACCACATGTCCTCACTTATAAGTGGGAGCTAAATGATTAGAACACATGGACCCAAAGAAGGGAACAGCAGATACTGGGACCCACAAAATGGTGGAGGGTAGGAGGAGGGAGAGGAGCAGAAAAGGTATCAATTGGGTACTAGGTTTAATACTTGGGTGGTGAAATAATCTGTACAACAAATCCCCATGACACAATTTAACTATGTAATAAATGTGTTGTATTAGTCTGCTTTCACACTGCTATAAAGATACAACCTGAGACTGGGTAGTTTATAAAGAAAAGATGTTTCATTGACTCACAGTTCTGCATGTCTGGAGAGGCCTCAGAAAAGTTACAATCATGGGAGAAGGGAAAGAGGCCTGTCTTACCTGGTGGCAGGTGAAAGAGTGTGAGGAGTGAAGGGGGAAAAGCCCCTTATAAAACCATCAGAGAACTCACTATCATGAGAACAGCATGGTGGAAACGATGCCCATGATCAAATCACCTCCACCTGGTGTCTTCCTTGACATTATAATTATAACATAAGATGAGATTTGGGTGGGGACACAAAGCCTAACCATATCACCTACACTTATACCCCTGAACTTATATAAAAGTTAAAGGAAAAGCTGATTTCATAGAAGTAAAAACTAGATCAGAGGACACTACAGCCTAGGAAGGATGGTGGAGGGAGGAGAAAGGGATTGATTAGTTAAAGGATACAAAATTACAGCCAGATAGGAAGAATATGTTCTGGTGGTCTATACCACTGTGGGATGTCTACAGTTACTAATAATATATGCTTTTATACAGCTAGAAGGAGAATATTGAATGTTCCCAACACTAAGAAATGGTAAATATTCAAGATGATGGATATGCTAATTACCCCAATCTGATCACTCTACATTATAAGTATTCCAACACCACTATGTATCCCATAAATATGTTCAATTATTATGTCAATTAGAAAATAAAAGGAAAAAAACAAAAATAAGTGTTACATCTATAAAGATGTTACAACATTTTATATTTATTTGGGGTAGATGGGCAAACATGAAAATCACTTGATTGCAGGTGAGTGCATGCAAAAAACCCTTTGCATCTCGTTTCACAATACAGGGATGTTGTGAAAAGCAAAAGTTGTATTCAATTTGTGGAAAGTTGTATGCAGTTTGTGAAAAGTTGTATTCAATTTGTGAACAGTTGTATTCTATTAGTTTGGGGTGTGCCCAAGACCATCCCATACTCAACAATTTGTGAGAAATAGTTAGAGTTAAGACTCATTACAGTAACACAGTAATGATACTCAGCCGCATCATTAAGGGAAAAAGACACTGGCATAGTTTGAAGAAATCCAAGCACAGGCTTCTTAGGAGTAACAGTAATAAAAACAGTCATGCACAGAGTGCATGACTATCCATCAGGGACTCCACAATCAAAGATTTTATTCAGGGCTTGTCACATAGGCACCCTCTGCTTACTACCTTCTTAAATACTAGACTCCCAGAAGGAAAGCAGATTTGCACCATAAATTGCATTGTGTGCACCATCTAGGTACAGCACAAAAACAAACAAGCAAAATATCAGTTAGGGAATGTACTGGCTTGAATAGTGTTCCTCCAAAACTCATATCCATCTGAAATCTCAGAATGTGGTCTTATTTGGAAATAGCGTCTTCACAGATGTAATTAGCAGAGAAGTCCGTATGACAATGGAGGCAGAGATTGGAGTGATGCTGCCTTAAGCCAAAGTATGCCCAGGACAGCCAGAAATCACCAAGAACTGGAAGAAATAAGCAAAGACCCTTCCCTAAAGACTTCAGAGGGAGCAGGGCCCTGCTGACAATTTGATTTCAGACTTCTGTCTTAAAAATGGTGAGATAATAAATACATTGTTTCAAGCCGAGTTTGAAGTGATGTGCATGACAATCCTAAGAAACTTATCTAGGAAACATTCCCCATCAGTGTAGGAATGTTTTAGAAGCTGTATTCCCAGTCACCAGCCAAGGGCTGACCTTGTAAGCAGGACCTTCTGAAGATAACTCTCTCAGGCTTGCGGTGTGCACACTTTTCTGCACACCCCTCAGCTAATGGAATCAATCTAAAGAAAGTTCATGAAAAAGGTGATGTCAGCTGAGTCATTAGATAAGAAAATAAGTTTGGAAAGAGAACGAAGTCATTCCCAAAAGACAAGCCAGTATCTTAGTTCATTTGTGCTGCTGTAACAGAATACCACAAACTTAGTAATTTACAAGCAGAAATTTATTGGCTTACAGTTTTAGAGGCTGGAAAGTCCAAGATTGAGGATCCAGTGCGTTTGTGATTCTGATTCCAAGATGGCACTTGAATGCTGCATTCTCTGTTGGGGAAAAATGCTTTGTCCTCATGTAGCAGAAAGGGAACGGGTAAAGAGAGACTTTCACCTTCAAACTTGATCCCTTGTATAAAAGCCTTCATCCCTCCCATTCATGAGAGCTTTACCCTCATGATTTTATTAGTTCTTAAAGGCCCCAAATTTTAATACTATCACGTTGGGGATTAGGTTTTCACAAATGAATTTTGGAGGGGACACAGAGTCTCAAACCATAGCAACCAGCATGCACAAAAGAGATAGAAGACACTGGATGAATTAAAGCTGAAGGTGATCTCTCATGCCCTAGTCACACCTTCTACTTTTACTTATTCATTCAAATTCTTTGGAGCTTACCATAGGCCAATCAGGTATCAGAAACTGTAAATACTATAGAGAAGCAATCCCCAATGGTTTTGGCACCAGGGACCGGTATTGTGGAAGACACTTTTTCCAGGAACTGTGGCTGGATGGGGGCGTAGGGGTGGGTTAGGATGATTCAAGGGCATTACATTTATTGTGCACTTTATTTCTATTATTATTACACTATAATAGGCAATGAAATAATTATACGACTCATTGTAATGTGGAATCTGTGGAAGCCATGAGCTTGTTTTCCTGCAACTAGACAGTCCCATCTGGGGGTAATGGGAGATGGCATTAGATTCTCATAAGGAGCATGAAACCTAGATCCCTCACTTGTACAGTTCCCAATAGGGTTCATCCTCCTAAGAGAATCCAGTGCTGCCTCTGATCTAAAAGGAGGTGGAGCTCAGGCAGTAATGCACTGTAAGTGATTGGGGAGCAACTGTAAATACAGATGAAGCTTCACTTGCTCCCCTGCTGCTCACCTTCTGGTGTGCAGCTTGGTTCCTAACAGGCCGTGGAATGATACTGGTCCATGGTCTGGGGATTGGGGACCCCTGTTGTAGAGAAACAAAAGAGATAGGGTACTTACCTTCATGGGGTAAGTGTAGGGGATTCACCAAACAAACATCAATAAATATGTCATTACAAGCATGATCAGAGTAAAAAGGCAGAAAAAGACAATGTTGAGAGAGAAGGGGGTAAGATATGCAATTTAGGTAGCACGGCGTTGGAGCTTAGGGAAGGTCTCTGCCAACGGACAGCCATAGCCAGGCCGACATGTGCAGACTGAAGAGAGTTTTTGGCACAGAAGATCATGACTAGTAGTCTGTCTGCTGGACAGAAAACAAGTTACAAAAGAGCAGGTATGAAGGTGTGGTGTCCATTGTACTCCAATCGACTTAACTGGTCACCATCTGTTGAGGGTTGAATGCTGCTTCCTACAGCAAGGTTTTCCCCTCCTCTCAACAAGCTGTATTCTGTTTGGACATCACCTGTGAACTTCTTCCCCCAGGTGACTCCTGCTAGAAATAGTAGCTCCTGTTAGCCTTCCCATCTCCCAGGAGGATATCTGTTACCCCAGTCTGAGTTAGGAGTGTCGCTGTGAATTCAATTGCATAGGAGCTCACTGTATCATACAAAGGTGCATTGTGCAAGAAGTATTGCAGAGCATCTTGCCTTTGTTACAGTGGATTGCCTCTTCACAAACTGAAACAGTTGGAGAGGAAACACTGTTTATTCTCACTCTTTCCCCAGTGGGCAGTTAGATGCCTGACCCAGAGAGCAGTCTCCAAATAATAGTCTGTATAATGATACTGAACGAGGAGGAGAGAACCTTTGAGTCAAGCAGAAACAGGGCTGTTTGCATCCATAGGGAAGACTGTCATTTGCAAAGGCACCCACATGTCTATGGTTAACAGATATTAAAGGTCCCTGGCTTCCATCTCATGCACCATTTGGTTTTCTGTGGGAAGCCAAGTCTACATTTGATCCTCTGAATGTTGCAATTTAAGTATCCTTTGACCTAACCTGGAGGTGATTTCCTCCTCCAGCTTTCTGGGTAAAGAATGCTTAATTAGCAGGCTCCTAAAATAGCTTAAGATCAATGAGAAGGGAACGATATGCCAATTTAAGTAGAGGAAAAATGTAATAGGGATGAAGATATCATGGGACAAACCGAGAAAGATGAAAGATACTTTGGAGTCCACTTTATGATAGAAGATGTTGAGATTGTAGAGGGTGATCAAGGTCATGACCACAGCAGAGCGCTGCTCATCCTTATAGGGAAACTCTAGAATGTATTTGAGACATGACTGAAGCCCTCTGTGAGTGCTGTTGAAATAGAAGCAGCTCAGAGATATGGGGATACCAGAGACCCTAGTAGATAGATGTTCTTACCTGCAAAAGGTTAGTTATTGCTGGAATTGTTTTCATTTCTGCAAATCAGCATACCCAAAATATTGTGTATTGACTTATGAGTCTAGCTTGCATCTAAGGTGATCATTTCTGAAAATTAAGCATATCAAGCAGCATTTAAAATGTATAAGAAGAATCTAATTTTTTAAAAAAATATCTGGTAGTGCATTCTTCTGTCAATGAAACGATCTTTTTTTTGTACAAATTTATGAGGTACGGGGGCCACTTGTTACCTGCAAACATTGCATAGTGGTCAAAACAGGACTTTTAGGATATCTATCATCTAATCAACATACATTGTACCCATTAACTAATGTCTCATCATTCACTCCTTCCTCCCATCCGCTCACCTATTCGCATCTCTATTATTTATCATTCTACTCTCTATGTCCATATGTAGACATTATTTAGCACACACTTGTGAGTGAGAATATGTGGGATTTGACTTTCTGTACCTGGTTTGTTTCAGTTAAGATAGTTACCTCCAGTTTCATCCATGTTGCTGCAAAAGACATAATTTCATTCTTTTTTATGGCTAATATTATTCTGTGGTATATATGTACTACATTTTCTTTTTTCAGCCTACTATTGATGGACACTTAAGTTGATTCTCTATCTTTGCTATTGTGAATATGACTGCCATAAACATGTGAGTGTAGATACCTTTTTGATATGATGATTTATTTTCCCTTGAGTACATATCCAATACATTTCCATTTGAAATTGCTGGATCAAATGGTAGTTCTAATTTTAGTTAAGAAATCTTCATATTGATTTCCATAAAGGTTGTACTAACCAACAGTATTTAAGCATTCACTTTTCTCTGTATCCTCATCAACACCTGTTATTTTTTATCTTTTTATTAATAGCCATTTTGAGTGGGGTAAGATGAAATCTCATTGTGGTTTTAATACGCGTTTCCCTGATGATGACTGAGGTTGAGCAGAAATAATCTTTTGTGATTAAAAGTAGAACCTTCAATTTGGTTTTTGAAATTAGTATTTTTATGGGGTCAATGTCTGTGATGTAGCTAAAATTTAAAAAGAGATAATAACAAGTGTTGGAAAGGGTACAGAAAAAGATGAACCTTCCTGCACTACTGATGGAAGCCTTCTTACACTACCGATGGACTTGACTACACTATTGTGGGAACCTTCCTACACTACTGCTGGAACCTTCCCACACTACTGATGGAACTTTCCCACACTCCTATAAAAAGACACAGCCATTTTGGAAAACAGTCTGTCAGTTCCTCAAAATGTTAAATATAGAGTGACCCTTTGACCCCATTTGTTCCACTCCTATATATATACCTGAAATAAATGAATGTATAGTACCACACAATAGGTGGTATACAAATATGTATAGCAACAGTATTCAAAATCGCCAAAAAAAAATGGAAACCACACACGTCCATTAATGAATGAATACAGAAACATTCACGTGTTTATATATCCAAAGGAGTGACCAATCCATACAGAGAAGTAATACTTTGTCATAAAAAGAAATGAAAGGCTGACACAGGCTACAACATGGTTATACGTTGAAAACATCATGCTCAATGAAAGAAACCGGAGACGCAAAGCCATGTGTTGTATGATTCCATTTATATAATATGCCAAGACTAGGCAAATCTATAGACAGAATATAGATTAGTGGTTGCCAGAGATTGGAGAGAGAGGTAATAGGGAGTTAATATTTAACAAATATGAGGTTTCCCTTTTGGGGTGATAAAAATGTTCTGGAATTAGAGATGATGGTTGCACAACTCTGTGAAAATGCAAAGAACCACTGAATTGGATACACTAAAAGAGGGAACTTCAGGGTATGTGAGCAACATCTCACTGAAACTCAGCAAATCAATTATAAGCCAGAGTGTTCTTATGAAAAAAAGATCTAGGTCTAATACAGTTACAAACATGGTAACTAATTTATCCTACTTAAGCCATTAATTTCCTCACGTAATAATGTAAAATTACAAATGATCTTTTTTTAAAATCTGAAGCATAATCACTAATGTAGCAATTCAGGTTTTTTTCCTCATTGTTCTGCTACACAGAGACCTTAGTGTATGATAAAGCTGAGGGGAATGATCAATTAATCAAACTGATATGGATTGTGAAGAAAAATTTGTGTTTATATTAGTATTTCCCTTAGTGACCAGCTAATGTGATTTGGACACCACCCATTTACCCTTCAAGGCTCCTTATAATTATAAAAGCCTATAAAAGGCATATTGATTGATAAGTAAATTTCAGTAATTCAATGAAAGGAGAAATTACAGGGTCAATAGACAGGTGGTATTGGTCTTCATTACATTTGTAGCCAATAAGTCTTCATATAATCAGAGGACAGTACAGAGACCTTGAATAATCAGATGGTGGCATTAAGAAAAATCCTCAGAAGCGTTTGCGGAACACAAGTCTCATGCCTGACCTCCTTCCTCATACATTATGCAGAATGCATAAATACCCACCTGTTCTCTTTGAAATAATACACTGTATTCATTTAATAGTTGCCATTTCTAAAAAGACAATAGAAATTTGAAAGTCAACAGCCAAACTAAACAATGCTACAAGGAAATTATCAGACATACAGAAAGGGATATAATTCTGCAGGAAAAGGGACCTAGAGGCTTCAAAGGAGTGCAGGGGTGGAGAGATAGATGGGGAGATGAATAGAACTGTGGATGGCTAGAACAATGGACAGATAGAATGGCATAATGTTAGAATAGTAGAACAATAAATGGATAGAAAGAGATTTAGTTTAGATATTGGTTCTTGCAATGGAAGCTGAGAAGTCCCACAATGTGCTGTCTGCAAGCTGGAGACCCAGGAAAGCCAGTGGCGTCGTTGAAGAAGGTCTGAGAGCGAGAGAGACAATGGTGTAGATTCCAGTCCAAGTCTGAAGACCTGAGAACCAGGAGCATCAAGGACAGGAGATCAATGTCCCAGCTAAACAGTGAGGGAAAAAGAGGGAGAGTCAACCTTCCTCCACCTTTTTGATCTCTTCTGGCTTTCAAGGGATTGAATGATGCCTGCTCACATTGCGGAGGGCTCATCAGCTTTAATCTGTGGATTCAAATGCTAACCTCTTCCAGAAACACCCTTACAGACACACTCAAAAATAATGTCTAATTAGGGATCTTGGCATTCCATGGCCCAGTCAAATTGACAGCTAAAATGTGTCATTAAAGGGGCATTCCTGAGATCTCAGGCTATAGATGTAGGCATGCTTTTAAAGCAAAAGTATTTTTACTTTAGATTCAGGGGATACATGTGCAGGTTTGTTACATGGGTATACGGCATAATGCTGGGGTTTGGGCTTCTAGTGAATCCATACCCAAATAACGAACATTGTATGCAAAGATAATTTTTCAATTCTTAACCTTCTCCCACCCTCCCTCTTTTGGAGTCCCCAGTGGCTTTGTTTTTGTTTTAATATTTTTCTTTTCTTCTTTTTTTAAAAGAGAAAGTTTTACTTTATTACCAGGCCATTTTCCTTTTCTCTTTCCTTCCTTCCTTTCTTTTCTTTCTTTATTTTGTGTTTATTTGTTTGTTTATGACAGGGACTTGCTCTGTCACCCAGTTTGGTGGTCTTGCTCTGTCACCCAGGTTGGAGGTCTTGCTCTGTCACCCAGGTTGGAGAGCAGTGGTGCAATCATAGCTCACTGCAGCCTCGAACTCCTGGGCTTAAACAACTCTCCTGCCTCAGCCTCTTTAGTAGCTGAGACTACATGAAGATGCCACCATCATGGCTAACAGGCATGCATTTTATCTGTCCAGAATCTTAGCCACGGTGATGGAGGCAACTTTAAGGATATGCTGTTATCTTCATTTACATTCAGAGAGTTCAACTCACTCTGCCAGATGAGAGCCCTGCCCCATCCTCCCTCCTCCTGCTCTGCACTTTTTTCTTCTGTTTTTCTCTTACTTTAAAGGCAATTCACAGTCTCCAACTCCTTTTCCCTTGTCACCATGTTCTGCATCCCTTGTGGCACCTGCAGCAAGCAGAAAATGGCAATGGTGCAGACATCCCAGTAAGTTTGTGTAATGTGTTTAGTCAACTACTTAGTTTTCCAGTAAAGGACTTCCACCCTTTAAAAGAAATTGAATTTTCTTTCATTAACTCATACATTCAAGAATTATATCATAGGCTTTGAACTTAGCTCTCAGGATACAAATGTGTTCAGATTCTATTTAAGAATTCCTAAGTTTCATCCTTTAGACTTTTTGCATTACTTCAATCTCTCATGTTCTTTTACAGACAGTAAGCTACATATTTCATCTCTATTCCTTCAAATAAAAGGGTGTGTGGTTTAACTCATGCATCACCACCATCTTTTGGAAAAAGAGCAGAGCTGATATTAAAGGGCTGAGATTGTGCTTCCAGGAAAAAAAAAAAAAAGCCAAGATTATCTCTCTATGCCCTACTATGGTCCAAACTTGCCTGAAGGTGTTGGCATGACCAAACTTTCAAATGGATTTATGACATCAAAAAAACAACAGGTAGATCCGATGCAGTCAAATCGTTGGCTAGTATGTTTGAGTGGTCTCAGGATGTTTGTGCATAGAACGTCTGGCACAAGATGATCCCATATTCCCACAGACATCACAGATTCACCTAAGGGAAAGGAAGATTTAAGAAGCATCATGGTTGAGAATAAAGGTCAACCCAGGTGGACCTGCACGGACCAATCCTTGGAACCAATGGAAATAACAACATTTATGTGGATACCATAGATAATAACACAGATGCCTGGATACCACCATGCCCTATCTGTACTCCCTGGTCCAATACAAACAAAGCTTACCAGTCCTTTTCTTTCCAACAAAAGACAGTATCCATGTAAAAAATAGTCCTCTGACTTGTGTCTTCATTTCACCAATACAAACACATTCTGTTCTTTATAAACACAATGTACTATCCCGTTCTTGTATTACTATAAAGAAACGCTTGAGACTGGGTAATTTATAAAGAAAAGAGGTTTAATTGGCTCATGGTTCTGCAGGCTGTACAGGAAGCATAGTGTCAACATCTGCTTCTGGGGAGGACTCAGGAAGCTTATAATTATGGTACAAGGAGAAGGGGGAGCAGGCCATTCACATGGCAAAAGTTAGGAGCAAGAAAGAGAGACAGAGAGTGAGTGTGTGTGGGTGGGATGCCACATACTTTTAAATAACCAGATCTCACAAGAACTTACTCACTATCACGAGGACAGCACCGGGAGGATGGTGCTAAACTATTCATGGGAGATCCACTCTTATGATCCAGTCTCCTCTTACCAGGCTCCACCTCCAATGTTGGAGATTACAAATTAACGTGAGATTGGGGAAGGGACACAGATCCAAATTATATCACTCAGGTTCTTCTGTATGAGAGCAAGACTCACTGTAGATTGTACAAAATGCTGCGATTTATCCCTGTCTGAGTCCACAAGAGCATCTGGGAGAGAGAAACTTATTTTGCTAGAGCACACTCAGGAAGACTGCTTCAAGCGATGCTCCCAAGAGGCTCAAAGTACACGGTCAGCTGCATGCCATGAGATGCTTTCACAATGAAGGATGAGTTCCTCAGCGCATTAAATTTAAAAGGTGGATCCAGGGATAAACATGGAAAGAAATATTATGGGAGATTGTGTCTTGGCTAAAGGTATAAATGTAACTTTTAGCCATGGAGAAACATGAAGTCTTGTGTGTAGAAATAACCAAACCTTTATACTAAATCTGAAAATTAAGACTGTGCTCCATTATAGTTCCCCTGCCTGGCCAGCCTCAACAGCACAGAAAGAAACATCTTTAGATACAATCCTGATAACCCTACATCTATTCCCTATCCACCATCCACTTACCAAATGTACCATCCATCTTTTCCTATGTTCCACTGTATCAGGATCTAATGAATATTTACTACTGTATTATTAAAATAAAGTACGCTAGAGAAAAAATATTATTAAGAAAATCCTAAGGAAGAGAAAATGTGTTTACTATTTATTAACTGGAAGTGGATCATCATAAAAGTCTTCACCCTCATCGTCTTCAGGTTGAGTAGGCTAAGGAGGAGGAGAAAGAGGAGAGGTTGGTCTTGCTGTCTCAGGACTGGCAGAGGCAAAATAAAATCTACAAAATCAAACTTGTGTTATTTAAGAGTAAACCATATCTGCCTTCCAATACACTTGGTAGAAAGTTAATCTTTCTCTTAGATTTTCACACTTATGGTCTAAGCAATGGGAAGAACTTCATCTTTCTCTTAGAGTTTCCCACTTAGTTTGTCTAGTGGTAGGACAGAAACATCCTTCTATTTTTTCCAGGTTATCAGCCTTTTGAAGGATTTTCTTCCAAACCTTTTTTTAAAATGACTATTTTAAAATATTATTTCATTTCTAATATATTTAGGGGGTACAACTGCAGGTTTTTTACATGCATATATTATGTAGTGGTGAAGTCTGGGCTTTTAGTGAACCCATCATCCAAATAGTGAACATTCTACACAATAGTTCACTTTTCAACCCTTTCTCCCCTGCTACCCTCCCCACTTTTGAAGTCCCCAGTGTCTATTGTCTCCATCTATATGTCCATGTGTAAGCATTGTTTAGCTCCCACCTATAAGTGAGAGCATGCAGTATTTGATTTTCTGCTTCTGAATTAATTCACTTAGGATAATGGCCTGCAGGGCCACCCATGTTGCTGCAAATAACATAATTGCATTCTTTTTTATGACTTTTTTACTCCATAGTGTATATGCACCACATTTTCTTTATACAATCCCCTGCTGATGGACACTTAGGTTGATTCCACATCTTTCTAATTGTGAATAGTGCTATGATAAACATAGAAGTGCAGGTGTCTTCTCGATAGAATGATTTCATTTCCTTTGGATACATATAGCTAGTAGTGCGATTGCTGGATTAAACCCTGGTTCTATTTTTACTTCTTTGAGAAATCCTCATACTGTTTTCCAGAAATGTTCTAACCCCTTTATGTGGTTTGGCTATGTCCCCCACTCAAATCTCAAATTGTAGTTCCCATAATTCCCATGTGTCATGAGATGGACCCGGCGGGAGGTAATTGAATCATGAGGTCAGGTCTTTCCAATGCTGTCCTTGTGATAGTGAATATGTCTCACAAGATTTGATAGCTTTATAAAGGGGAGTTTCCCTACACACACTCTCTTGCCTGCTGCCATGTAAGACGTGACTTTGTTCCGCCTTCACCTTCTGCCATGACTGTGAGGCTTCCCCAGCCATGTGGAACTGTGAGTCCATTAAACCTCTTTTCTTTATAAATTACCCAGTCTTGGGTATGTCTCTACTAGCAGTAAGAACAAACTAATACACCCTTGACTGAATATCTGAGCAATTCTCTCACCAGCCAGTTGGATTCACTATTCTCCTCTCTCTTCCATGTGTGCAAGAGCCCCAGTCCTGCCTTGTGCTACACTCATCAGTCTCTGTAAACACACCTAAGGAGATGAATAGTTAAGAAAATCTGACATTGTACAGACTAGAATGTAAGAAAAAAAGTCCACTTACCATTGCCCTTCAGCCTGACTGTTTCTGTCTGGGTAGCCTCCTTTCTCACTTTCCTCAATGATCTTTCCATTCATAACCATTCCTTCAAACCCCACAGAAAAGCCCTGCTAGCCTCTCCCTGAAACGGTTCCCATTTCAGGACTTCTTACACTGCAACCTATTATTCCAATCACATTAGGCATCTTGTTACAGTGTAGACTCCATTTCACGATCCCAGGTGGAGCTAGAGATTCACCATGTCTAGCAAACCCTCCCATGGTGACATGATACATATCTGTTTTCCTTGAATTTCTCCCCTCTCCCTTCTTCAAGTGTTTCTCCTCCATTTTTCTAACCCTACTTGCTGATGTTTTCTGTCATTGCATCTGTTGATTTTCCCCATTTATCTAACTTTACT